AAGCAGAGGCTGGATGCTCCTCTGTCAGGGGGGATCAGATTGTGCTTGGCCTTTATGGCAGGAGGAGGTTGGACTGGACTACCTTTAAGGTTCCCTTCTGACTCTAGGATGCTATAAAATTATTATTATTATTATTATTATTATTATTATGAAGCAGAGGCTGGATGGGCCTCTGTCAGGGGGGATCGGATTGTGCTTGACCTTTATGGCCGGAGAAGGTTGGACTGGATGACCTTTAAGGTTCCCTTCTGACTCTAGGATGCTATAAAATTATTATTATTATTATTATTATTATTATTATTATTATTATTATGAAGCAGAGGCTGGATGGGCCTCTGTCAGGGGGGATCGGATTGTGCTTGACCTTTATGGCCGGAGAAGGTTGGACTGGATGACCTTTAAGGTTCCCTTCTGACTCTAGGATGCTATAAAATTATTATTATTATTATTATTATTATTATTATGAAGCAGAGGCTGGATGGGCCTCTGTCAGGGGGGATCGGATTGTGCTTGACCTTTATGGCAGGAGGAGGTTGGACTGGATGACCTTTAAGGTTCCCTTCTGACTCTAGGATGCTATAAAATTATTATTATTATTATTATTATTATTATTATTATTATTATGAAGCAGAGGCTGGATGGGCCTCTGTCAGGGGGGATCGGATTGTGCTTGACCTTTATGGCCGGAGAAGGTTGGACTGGATGACCTTTAAGGTTCCCTTCTGACTCTAGGATGCTATAAAATTATTATTATTATTATTATTATTATTATTATTATTATTATTATTATTATGAAGCAGAGGCTGGATGGGCCTCTGTCAGGGGGGATCGGATTGTGCTTGACCTTTATGGCCGGAGAAGGTTGGACTGGATGACCTTTAAGGTTCCCTTCTGACTCTAGGATGCTATAAAATTATTATTATTATTATTATTATTATTATTATTATTATTATTATGAAGCAGAGGCTGGATGGGCCTCTGTCAGGGGGGATCGGATTGTGCTTGACCTTTATGGCCGGAGAAGGTTGGACTGGACTACCTTTAAGGTTCCCTTCTGACTCTAGGATGCTATAAAATTATTATTATTATTATTATTATTATTATTATTATTATTATGAAGCAGAGGCTGGATGGGCCTCTGTCAGGGGGGATCGGATTGTGCTTGGCCTTTATGGCCGGAGAAGGTTGGACTGGACGACCTTTAAGGTTCCCTTCTGACTCTAGGATGCTATAAAATTATTATTATTATTATTATTATTATTATTATTATTATGAAGCAGAGGCTGGATGGGCCTCTGTCAGGGGGGATCGGATTGTGCTTGACCTTTATGGCCGGAGAAGGTTGGACTGGATGACCTTTAAGGTTCCCTTCTGACTCTAGGATGCTATAAAATTATTATTATTATTATTATTATTATTATTATTATTATGAAGCAGAGGCTGGATGGGCCTCTGTCAGGGGGGATCGGATTGTGCTTGACCTTTATGGCCGGAGAAGGTTGGACTGGATGACCTTTAAGGTTCCCTTCTGACTCTAGGATGCTATAAAATTATTATTATTATTATTATTATTATTATGAAGCAGAGGCTGGATGGGCCTCTGTCAGGGGGGATCGGATTGTGCTTGACCTTTATGGCCGGAGAAGGTTGGACTGGACTACCTTTAAGGTTCCCTTCTGACTCTAGGATGCTATAAAATTATTATTATTATTATTATTATTATTATTATTATTATTATGAAGCAGAGGCTGGATGGGCCTCTGTCAGGGGGGATCGGATTGTGCTTGGCCTTTATGGCCGGAGAAGGTTGGACTGGATGACCTTTAAGGTTCCCTTCTGACTCTAGGATGCTATAAAATTATTATTATTATTATTATTATTATTATTATTATTATGAAGCAGAGGCTGGATGGGCCTCTGTCAGGGGGGATCGGATTGTGCTTGGCCTTTATGGCCGGAGAAGGTTGGACTGGATGACCTTTAAGGTTCCCTTCTCACTCTAGGATGCTATAAAATTATTATTATTATTATTATTATTATTATTATTATTATGAAGCAGAGGCTGGATGGGCCTCTGTCAGGGGGGATCGGATTGTGCTTGGCCTTTATGGCCGGAGAAGGTTGGACTGGATGACCTTTAAGGTTCCCTTCTGACTCTAGGATGCTATAAAATTATTATTATTATTATTATTATTATTATTATTATTATGAAGCAGAGGCTGGATGGGCCTCTGTCAGGGGGGATCGGATTGTGCTTGACCTTTATGGCCGGAGAAGGTTGGACTGGATGACCTTTAAGGTTCCCTTCTGACTCTAGGATGCTATAAAATTATTATTATTATTATTATTATTATTATTATTATGAAGCAGAGGCTGGATGGGCCTCTGTCAGGGGGGATCGGATTGTGCTTGACCTTTATGGCCGGAGAAGGTTGGACTGGATGACCTTTAAGGTTCCCTTCTGACTCTAGGATGCTATAAAATTATTATTATTATTATTATTATTATTATTATTATTATGAAGCAGAGGCTGGATGGGCCTCTGTCAGGGGGGATCGGATTGTGCTTGACCTTTATGGCCGGAGAAGGTTGGACTGGATGACCTTTAAGGTTCCCTTCTGACTCTAGGATGCTATAAAATTATTATTATTATTATTATTATTATTATTATTATGAAGCAGAGGCTGGATGGGCCTCTGTCAGGGGGGATCGGATTGTGCTTGACCTTTATGGCCGGAGAAGGTTGGACTGGATGACCTTTAAGGTTCCCTTCTGACTCTAGGATGCTATAAAATTATTATTATTATTATTATTATTATTATTATTATTATTATGAAGCAGAGGCTGGATGGGCCTCTGTCAGGGGGGATCGGATTGTGCTTGGCCTTTATGGCCGGAGAAGGTTGGACTGGATGACCTTTAAGGTTCCCTTCTGACTCTAGGATGCTATAAAATTATTATTATTATTATTATTATTATTATTATGAAGCAGAGGCTGGATGGGCCTCTGTCAGGGGGGATCGGATTGTGCTTGACCTTTATGGCCGGAGAAGGTTGGACTGGATGACCTTTAAGGTTCCCTTCTGACTCTAGGATGCTATAAAATTATTATTATTATTATTATTATTATTATTATGAAGCAGAGGCTGGATGGGCCTCTGTCAGGGGGGATCGGATTGTGCTTGACCTTTATGGCCGGAGAAGGTTGGACTGGACTACCTTTAAGGTTCCCTTCTGACTCTAGGATGCTATAAAATTATTATTATTATTATTATTATTATTATTATTATGAAGCAGAGGCTGGATGGGCCTCTGTCAGGGGGGATCGGATTGTGCTTGACCTTTATGGCCGGAGAAGGTTGGACTGGACGACCTTTAAGGTTCCCTTCTGACTCTAGGATGCTATAAAATTATTATTATTATTATTATTATTATTATTATTATGAAGCAGAGGCTGGATGGGCCTCTGTCAGGGGGGATCGGATTGTGCTTGACCTTTATGGCCGGAGAAGGTTGGACTGGATGACCTTTAAGGTTCCCTTCTGACTCTAGGATGCTATAAAATTATTATTATTATTATTATTATTATTATTATTATTATTATGAAGCAGAGGCTGGATGGGCCTCTGTCAGGGGGGATCAGATTGTGCTTGGCCTTTATGGCCGGAGAAGGTTGGACTGGATGACCTTTAAGGTTCCCTTCTCACTCTAGGATGCTATAAAATTATTATTATTATTATTATTATTATTATTATTATTATTATGAAGCAGAGGCTGGATGGGCCTCTGTCAGGGGGGATCGGATTGTGCTTGACCTTTATGGCCGGAGAAGGTTGGACTGGATGACCTTTAAGGTTCCCTTCCAGTTCTAGGATGCTATAACAACAACAACAACAACAACAACAACTAGCTGTACGCAGCTCGCGTTGCTGTGGCCAACCTTCTCTCCTTTCTTTCTCTCCTTCCTTCCCACAAACGAACATAACATTTGTATTTATATAGTAGATTAGGCAGGGGCTGGAGGGCCATCTGTCGGGAGGGATCGGGTGGAGCTTTTCCTTTAGAGCAGAAAGAAAGGGGTTGGACTGGATGCCCTTTAAGGTTCCCTTCGAACTCTAGGATGCTATCATTCATATTATCCTCAAGCATGGGCTGGGTGGCCATCTGCTGGGAGGGATTTGATTGTTAAAAAACTCTAAAATTACAACAGCAAACAGCAGAGAGGAAACAACCAGGCACATCTGATCACCTCTCCACAAAAGATTCCCCCAGGCTCAGGCAGGCCTTCAAATGCTAATGAAGGTGGTCAGTTGAAACATTCCCACCTGGCTCCAGCAGACAAGAGTCCTTTGTCCCACCCTGGTCATTCCACAGATATAGAAACCCCTTTTCCTAGTTCCAACAGACCTCACGACCTCTGAGGATGCTTGCCATAGATGCAGGCGAAACGTCAGGAGAGAATGCCTCTAGAACATGGCCATATAGCCCGAAAAAACCCACAAGAACCTAGATTTGATTGTTCTTTACCTTTATAGGTGAAAGCGGTTGGATTGGATGACCTTTGGGGTCCTTTCCAACTCTAGGATGCCATAATAATAATAATAGTAGCAGTAGTAATAGTAGTAATAGTAGTAATTACTATTAAGCAGGGGCTGGAGGGCCACCTGTCGGGAGGGATCGGGTGGAGCAGAAAGAAAGGGGTGGGACTGGGTGGCCTTGGAGGTTCCCTTCCGATGGTACGAGGAAGGGGAGGCAGGCGGGCCCTCTGCCGGGAGGGCTTTGGCGGGGAAGGCGGGGCCGGGCTGGGCGTTGTGCGGAGTCTCGGGGGCGGCCTCGGCTGTGGCAGGGGCGTGCCTGCCTGGCTTGCCTGCCTCTTTTCCTGGCTGGCGGGGCGGAAGGCAGCCAGAGAGAGAGAGAGAGAGAGAGAGAGGGGCGTGGGGGGGTTTCTTTCCTTCCATGGGGCAGCCACAGCAGGGAGAGGAGGGAGAGGAGGCGGAGGCGGAGGCGGAGGCGGCGGTGCCCTGCCGGGTGCAGTTCCTGGAGGACGGGGAGCCCTTCTCCTCCGGGGGGGCCGCCTTCCCGGAGCCCCGCCGCCCCCCCGTCCTGGCCCTCCACCCCGCCCGGACCCTCGCCCACCAGCTGCCCCTCCTCCACCGGCGCCTGCAGGCCCCCCTCCCGGTAAGCACAGGCGCCGCTCCTCTGTCGGGAGGGATCGGGACGGGCTTCTCTCCTGGAAGAAGCGGGGTGGGCTAGATGGCCTTGGGGGGGGGGTCCCCTCTCTCCCACTCTAGCATTCTATTATTATTGTTACTATCAAGCAGGGGCTGGGTGGACATCTGTCCGGACGGATTGAATTGTGCTTCCAAGGGATGGCCCCTGGGGCCCCTTCCAACTCTAGGATTCTACAGTTATTCTTAAGCAGGGGGTGGGTGGCCATCTGTAGGGAGGGCTTTGGTGGTGCTGCACCATTATGGCAGAAGGCAGTTGGACTAGATGACCTTTAAGGTTCCCTTCCAACTCTAGGATTCGACAATTATTTTTAAGCAGGGTGGCCATCTGTTAGGAGGGCTTTGATGGTGCTGCACCTTTATGGCAGAAGGCAATTGGACTAGATGACCCTCAAGGCTCCCTTCTGACTCTAGGATTCTAATATTATTAGTATTCTACTTCTTAAGCAGGGGTTGGATGGTCATCTGTCAGGAGGGCTTTGAGGGTTGGATGGCCATCTGTCAGGAGGGTTTTGTCCTTTATGGCAGGAAGAAGGGGGCTGGACTGGGTGGCCTTTGGGGGTCCCTTCCAACTCTATATTCTATCATCCAACTCTGTGAAGCTGTTGTTGTTGTTGTTTTTCAGCAGAGGCTGGGTGACCATCCGTTGGGAGGGCTTTGATGGTGCTGTACCTTTATGGCAGGAAGAAGGGGGCTGGACTGGGTGGCCTTTGGGGGTCCCTTCCAACTCTCTGTGGTCAGCACCTGTGGGCCCCAACGGGCGCCCCGTCCCATCCCTTGTGGGAGTTGGAGTCCAAAGCGGCTGGAGGGCCCAGTTTGGCCCCGTCCGTCCTCGGGGCCCGTCCTGTCCTTGGATTGGGCAAGGCGGGCCTTGGGAGTGTTGTGGTTTCCTTGGTGCCTTTGTTTACGTGTGGGGTGGCGTGTGACCAGAAGCTCCCATTGTGGGCCCAGTCACTGGGATATTTTCTGCGGGTGACTCAGAGGGGCAAATACAGGCCGGCCAGGGAGCAGACCCTTGGGGGCATTGGGGGGGGGGGGGAATGGCCGGGGAACTTGGCCTGAAGTAGCCCGGGGGTCTAGCCCAGTCCGTGGTGGGCCTCCCTTGTCCTTCCAAAGGGCTTCTGCGTGGGGAGCAGAGCATGGGTGCAGGAACACACACACATGGCACATGGAGGCTCGTGAATCAGCCTCCTCCCATGACTCAGCCCCATGGCTGCTGCAATCTGTGGGCAGGAAGGGGGTGGGAGGGTGGGGGCCAACTCCAAGAAGGCTCGCTCCCTTCTTCGCCTTCCTATGGTTTGCAATGGGTGCTTCGCCCGGCCCTTCTGATCATCAGTCACCTCGTGCAGAGAAAAGCAGGGGAGAAACAAACCTAGTCATGCTATAATAACAACAACACATCATACTAATATCTAAGCACCATCATGTGAAGGAGCCCCCGGTGGGTGGCGCAGTGGGTTCAACCCCCCCTGTGCCGGCAGGACTGAAGACCGACAGGTCGCAGGTTTGAATCTAAGAAGAGGCGGATGAGCTCCCTCTATCAGCTCCAGCTCCTCATGCAAAGGGGGCATGAGAGAAGCCTCCCTCCCACAAGGATGATAAAAACATCAAAAATCATCCGGGCAACGTCCCCTGGGCAACGTCCTTGCAGACGGCCAATTCTCTCACAACAGGAGCGGTTACTCCTGACACGCCAACCCCCCCCCAAAAAAAACCCCCATCATGTGGGGCTGGTGAGAGGGTCTGCACCTGACAGAGAGATCAAAGTGGGAGTATAAATAAACATACTACTGCTACCAATAATAATGTTTGTTTGTTTGCCGTGTCAGAACAACCAGTCTAACAGAACAAAGCAAACAAACAGAAAAATACACAACTTGTGAGTTTGGTAGCTGGTTAAATGTCCTTTGACCAGTCTCTGGCCACTTGGAGTGCTGCCTCTGGTGTTGCCGCAAGAAGGTCCTCTCTTGTGCATCATGTGGAAGAAGGGCTCAGGCTGCATTGCAGCAGGAGGTCAGTGGTTTGCTCTTCTCCGCACTCGCATGTCGAGGATTCCACTTTGTGGCCCCATTTCTTGAAGGTTGGCTCTGCATCTCGTGGTGCCAGAGCGCAGTCTGTTCAGCGCCTTCCAAGTCGCCCAGTCCTCTGTGTGCCCAGGGGGGAGTTTCTCATTTGGTATCAGCCATTGATTGAGGTTCTGGGTTTGAGCCTGCCACTTTTGGACTCTCGCTTGCTGAGGTGTTCCAGCGAGTGTCTCTGTAGATCTTAGAAA